GAACCAGGAGAGAACATTCCTGGTTATTCAGGAGAGAACATTCCTGGTTATTCAGGGGAACCAGGAGAGAACACTCCTGGCCACCCAGGTGGAGCAGGGCAGGCCATTCCTGGTTATCCACTGAAACCCTCCCTGCCTGCCCAGCTCATCCAAATCTCCTCTGAGGGACAAAAAGCACAGCTGAGTGTAGGAGCTCCGTGTGGAAGTGGCCTGGGATGTCCTGGGAGCTGTCAGGCCACGGGGCTCCCCATCAGCCGCTCCTGGCGCAGAGCCACCAGCCTCTGGAACCACTTCTCCTCAGCCTCTGCCTTCTCCATGAACAGCTGGCACGGGAGAAAAGTTGGCACAATCAGCAGCTCCAGGTTTGTGATCATCCCCTGGAGCAGCCACGACTGCCTCAGTGCCCACAGGAAAAGCTCAGGGGGGTTAAAGACAGAGGTGAGCCAAAAACATCAATAAAAGCAGAGACTTTTCAGGGAATCCTCAAATAGTTTGGCTTGGGAGGGGTCTTAATCATTGGAAAAGCAAAGCTCCAATGCAATTCATCATTGACATGTCCTGGTCTCTGCTCTGTGCCCATTCTACAGAACTCACACTGATTTCTTCTACCTTGCTAGTTCTTAAAAAAAAACAACAAAACAAACCTTTTCTTTCCCTCTAAAGCTCTCCCAAAGAGATTTGCTCAAGTTTAGGCTCAATGATTTAAAATTATCTGAAGTGTGTCTCAACTTTGCAAGTTGGCAAAATGGGCAAGTTCTGAGTTTCCCTCCAGGTTTCCAACTATAGAAACCAATTTGTCCTGAATTTTTATCCCTCTTAAATTCCCCAGTGATACATTAATTATATTTTATTATATAATTCATTGACAACTCCCAAACTCCTGCTGAACCTCCTGTGGGACTGCTCTGCTGGGTGGTGGGAGCAGTGGGATCTCTTTTTGCCAGGGCAGGGATTGTGTGAGGAGCTGCACAGCCAAGGCTGTGAGGTCACACAGCCCTGCTCTCATTCCAGGGGCTGCTCTAAAGCTGAAGGTGGGATAAATTCTGGCTAAAATGATGGGATAAGCACTCACATTTGGATGAGCTAAGGAATTGTCATCCTGGTACTTGATGGCAGTGGGAATGTTGGCAGCTGGAGGCTCTTTCTCAGCAGCAGCTGCCTCAGTGGCTCCCACGCTGACAGGCTCCTGTTGGAGTTCAGCAGGTTCTGCTGACTGAAAAAGGAACAAACACACAAAATTTGAGTGTTTTATCCCAAAAGTCCCAGCTGTGCCAGTATTTTAACTCAATACATGTCTGTCTTCCCTGAAAGGATCCTCTCAGGGATGTCCTCTCAGGTGTCCTCTCACTGGACAAGGACATGAAGTGACCAAAAAAAGGTGTAGGGAGAGAGCTGGAAAACCTGCACCACTGGGATTTTGGATCACTTCCTGAAGAAGCTGCATCAGATTCTTGGAGATTTCTACAAAAGCAAATTGCACATTCCTGGGGAAACAGCCAGGGATAATTCCAAACACTCACTGGCCAGGTGGGAAAATGAACATTTCCCAAACCAGTTCCCTACAACACCTGGGGGCCAAAATTAAAGTAAATTCTGGGATCTGGATGTCTCCTGTTGGGTTTCTGGATTGAAACCAGGCTGATTGAAAACCAAGCTGCTTCTTTTCAGGGAGTAAACACAGACTTAAAGTCTGGCTTTAGATAAGCAGCATTAAAATCATCTCCACTTTAATTACAAAGTAAATGGGATTACTTTGGGATTTCAATTCTTCTGCTTTTCCTAAACAAAAACTCTTCAAACCAGGTGATTTCCTTAAATTCTGCCACATTTAAATCCCCTGAGACTATCAAGGAGTCCTTGGTGGGATTTCAGGTGGACTTAAGGTTCTCAACATTGATGCTCCTTCATAGGTGAAAAATCCTTAAATAGTGCAGCTTCCTCCTGGCTCTGAGAGGATAATGCAGCAAGAAAGGGACTGAAAATGTCCCTTTTGGAAGGAAAAATGTTCCTTTTGGAAGGAAAAATGTCCCTTTTTGGGATAATGCAGCAAGAAAGAGACTGAGAATGTCCCTTTTGAAAGGAAAATGCCCCTTTTGGAAGGAAAAATGTCCTTTTTTGGGAGGAAAATGTCCCTTTTTGGGAAGAAAATGTACATTTTTGGAAGGAAAATGTACCTTTTTGGAAGGAAAATATCCCTTTTGGAAGGAAAAATGTACCTTTTTGACTTCTTTGCTGGACCTGAAGGTCTGTGGGACGAAGGCGTCGCTTTCGATGGCTTCGATTTCCTTCACTCGCTTCACTTGGTCCAGGAGGGTGGCTTGGTCTGCACAGGGAAGGTGAGATTTATGGGATTTGTGGGATTTATGGGATTGGTGAAATCCCGGGATCCAGGCCCCTGTCCCAGCCATGCCTGAAGGAGATTTTGGGACACTCCAGGAAAAGCTGCTCGTGCAGTGCAGCCCAAAATCTTCTGTTCCAAGGGAAAGCTCTGAGTAAAAATAAACCAGTGAGGCTGGGAACATTCCAAATGCTGACCTAAGGATTTGTGGGATAACTGGGGAAGAGAAAACTCCAGGGAGAGCTCAGAGCCTGAAGGGGCTCCAGGAGAGCTGGAGAGGGGCTGGGGACAAGGATGGAGGGACAGGAACAGGGAATGGATGTGTGGGAGATTGGGAATTGGGAATTCCTGACTGGGACAGGACCCAGGGAATGGCTCCCAGTGCCAGGGGGCAGGGATGGGTGGGAGATTGGGAATTGGGAATTCCTGACTGGGACAGGACACAGGGAATGGCTCCCAGTGCCAGAGGGCAGGGATGGGTGGGAGATTGGGAATTGGGAATTCCTGACTGGAATGGGATTCCCAGAGCAGCTGTGGCTGCCCCTGGATCCCTGGCAGTGCCCAAGGCCAGGTTGGACATTGGGCTTGGAGCAGCTGGCACAGTGGGAGGTGGCCCTGCCCTGTCCCTGGATGGGATTTAAGGTCCTTCCAAGCCAAACCATCCCATAATTCTAAGTTGTCAGGAGCTGCACTACAAGCAAAGTCCATAAATACAACTTTAAACCTAATTTTTTGAGGGATTTAGAAGGAAAAAAAGGGTTTCCTACATTTAAACTTGTGTTTGCAAGTCCTGCTGCCTTGGTGCTGAAAGCTTCTCCTTTAGAACAGATTCCCAAGGATTTTTGGGACAAATCAAAGGAGAGGGAATCAGAATTCACTGAGGCTTTGGATACACCTGGTCTGAGGGTAAATAAAGGGTCCTGATTAAAGCCAGGCATGGAAAGGCAGGAAAAGGAGATTTCAAATCCACAGCTCAGCTCGTTTCACAAAATCCCAGGCAGCTCCAGGATCCCACCCGGATCCTGCACAAAGTGATGGGAATGACAAATCAGGGAAGGGGCAAAAATCACTAAAAGCTGCCAATGACATCAGTGACATTAACGGGGGAAAATGGACTGGAGGAAGCAGAGCCCATTAGTGCAGGGCACTTTTGACAAACACATTATGGGGAGATAAAACGACTTCCAGCTGTTGTTTGTCAGCTGTCAGGGCCAGGGATATGTATTTCATAGGAAAATCAAAAATAATGGAGTCAGAAAGCGCCGAGGCTTCAGACAAAAAAAAAAAATAAAAATCAATACTAACTCAGTGCACGGTGAGTCTTTTCACCCTGTTAGGGTGGAAAAACAAGGAAGTAAATCTTGGATTAGGGCTGGTTTTTAATAAAAAGGTGATTCCAGCAGCAGGCACAATTTCCAGCCCTGTCAGCTTGGCAAGGGAGGATTTTCCCAGTTTAACTGGGAACATCATCAGCATCATCCTTCAGGGATAATTTTGCATTTTACAATTCCCTATTTACACCTAATGCTCTCCTCCAGTGTGTAAATATACATACTCAGCTTTATAGCTGCAAATTCCTATGGAATTAGGCTGGAGCAGCAATAACCTGGAATGTCACTTGAGAATTAAAATGTGCATTCTCTCGATGCCACCCCAAAACATTGCACACACAAGAATTAGAAACAGCAGAAAATCAGATAAAAGTAAAAGAAACAGAGAATTCTATGATTCTACAAATCAGGTGAAAGGAGAACTTTCCTGCCTAAAATATTCCCATTTTTTTCCTTAAAGACAAAATTTATTCCACTAAGAGTTTTAAAATCACGGAAATAGAAACATTAAATGACCAATAATATCTTGTGAAAGATCCATTAAACAAAAACATGTTTTAAATATTTCTTGGATAATCTCCGAGTGTAAATTTTTATGGATTCATTGCTTATCCATAATCCTGACCATGAACATGAACTTAAAGAGATTTTTTCAAGCAGGTCTAACTCCAGAATCAAAGCAATGGCAAAAAACATCCAATATTCCTCTGAATCTGTTTCTTCCTATTTTACTAATTAGATTTAAGGGGTTAATTTAATTTAAAAATGTAACACGTTTTACATGAAAAGCTTTGAAATACAGAAAAAAGCTGCTAATTTTTCTTGCTCTTTTGAGCTGAGGATTAAAAGAGGGAAACACCTCCAGTTCCCAAACTAAATAAACTACAGCAGAAAATATTTCCCCTTTGATCCCATTTTATTTGGGGTTATTGGAAGTGATATTTTTATGCTCTGTGTTTCCCACCACAGCTGGGTTTTCACGCATCCCAAAGTTTTAACTGATTCCAGTTTTACTCAAGCTGCACAAACGGACAAATTAAAGAAAAAATGAAGTTTCCCCTGGGTAATTTGCAGTGGATGACACAAAAGCCTCCCTGGCTGTGGGAGATCCTGGATCCTTCACTCCGCACTGGGAGAAGGAGGAAAATCCAGCAGGAAAATCCAGCAGGAAAATCCAGCAGGAAAATCCAGCAGGACAGGTGGGACTCGCGGTGGCTGTGTCACCCCTGGGCTTCACCAGCCCTGGGGCTCTGCTTCTCAGGGAATTCTCCTCAAATCCTTTGTTTGGATCAGGAGAGGAGCAGCTGTCCCACCCTGATCCCGCAGTGTCCCGGAGTCCTGAGTGCTGGAACTCCAGCTCCAGTGGGAGCTGCTGCAGACCCTCCCTGGAGATC